GGAAATCTCACTTTTCCTGTGACTTCTGTTACATTTTAGAGACGCTCTTTCCACCTGCCAACCAGCCCTTCTTCCTATTCTCCCCAGTCAAGTAGTGTGAAAATTAACCCAACTACTTTGCACTGAATCCTTCTGAGAGTGGTTTGCTCACAGTCCCTGAATGGATCGCTTTGTAAAGGTTTTGGGTTCTGTAAAGGGGGATGCCCTCTACCCAGGATCTGCAAACTGGACTTTACCTGACCACGAAGGGCTATGCTTTTCCTCTTGGCATTTACCTGTTGAAGGCCACAGATGACTCAGTGGGGGCCGTCTGCCTTTGCCTCACCTTCCTTCCTTCTGTTGGTGTCCCTGTGGCCCACTCCTGCTTGAGACAAGTGAGGCTCCCATTTATTTTCCAGGCTGGGAGTCTCAGGTAATCTCCAGATGGAACTGCAGCTTCACATTCAGCTTCCCTGAAATATGTATGAAGCAGAAGTGATCTGTTCCGTGAGACTTAAGGGTCTTTGATCTATAATATCTGGAGCTGTAAGGTAGCTAATGAATGATATCATCATGTTGGGAGGTGAAAGTAAGGCAGTTAGGTTTCAAAATCGGTCTCCATTTTGTTCTGCCTCCCCATCACCTCCTCAGAGTCTGTTTTGACGTTCTGTGGGGCTGTAATTAGCACCGCTGGAAAAGCAAATCCCTGGGGAATATTTGAGCTAAATTGCATCTGCCATTTTGGGGCTCTGGGACAATGTGAGAAAAATTCAGGTGCCCATTCAAATGGGATGAAACCAGAGGTTTTTCCAATTGGTTATGCTCGTCCATGATGAACAGACGTAATCACTCAAATTATATCAGAAATATATATCTATATCTATCTCCATCATTTCATGTTAGGGAGGCTTAAAGACTTTATTGGAAGATGAATTACAGAACAGGATAATTGTATACTAATTGTGTAATAATATGCAATAGTGTTCTATATATGTATTTTGAACGGACTTCCTTTCCCATGACTGTTTATCAAAACGGTATCTCTAAAGTGGTAAAAAAACCCAGAGTTAAATTTCTCAGCACTAGTCACTGGCTGAGAGTACTTTAAAAGGATTTTTCCTTTTTCTGGGTTAGTAGGATATTTAACTAGTGAAATCAATGGAGAAATTTGTCATTTTCTGTCTTGATCAGCTGCAGAGGATTAAATAATTGAGGCTATAATCTTTCCTAGGCTCTGATTCTGTCTCTACCACCAGGACCACACCTCCTCCTTTCTCATCCTACATGGGTCATGATGTGTCACTTTCTTACTATAATTTTTTATGCGGACTTTTCATGCTTTCTTACAAAGGCTTTATCCTGCCTTGAAATATTTCATGATTTTGGACATAAGTCAATGGGCTCAAGTTTGAGACTGCTTCAGTTTCTAGGTTCTTACAGATTTTCACAGCCCCTGAAGAGTTGGGTAATTTTCATGTATGAAGTGGGGTAAAATGGAATCAGCCTTTCCTCCTCTGGCGTTAGACTTTGGAGGAAGACTATTCTCAGTCCTGTCCGGTAGAGGCCTGACATTATTTTACGCAGTGGGCTCCATGAAATATACATGCGTAGTGACACTGCCATCTTTCATTCTTTAGCCTGTATAATGCACTGAGTTACTGAATTTAACAAACGACTGTATTTAGATAGGAGTCTTTCTACTGAAGTTTATGTTTTAAAAATTAACCCTTGCTGTGGTCCTTGCAAGTCATTTTTAAAAGCCTCATCACTAGATGATAAAAGAACCAGTGAAGAGGCCGTCTCCGTTGCATACACCTCTCCTGGCATGTTTGTGGGACTTACCTGGTGTGCCTTCCCCCACAGGCTGAATGCCAGCAGGTCACCACGTTTTTGGGCCAGAGGAAGATGAGAGGTCAGGGGCCTTCAAGTCCTGCATTGTGAGAGTATCCGGAAGGGGCCCGTGCAGCAGGAGCACACTTGGGTGCAGTGCAGAATTGGGGTGGTGCGGGGATAAGGATAGTACTTGCCAGCGTGGGAGTTGTAGCTCAAGAAAACTGGCATTGCTGTCCCCAGCACAGGAGGTCCTGGGTCTGTTTTAGGACAACATACAGAGAATGTAGCTCTATCGATTTAGATAGAAAATAAGAAATGAGTTGGGGAGGTAGCTCTCCTCCTTGCCCCCACCTCCAGTCTTGGGACCTGGAGAAGTGACCAGCCCTGATATTGATGGAGTGTTGGTTCAGTACCCCCAGACGGCTGTCTTAATGTGCCCTGAGCATCCGGATATGGGGACTTCTGATATGAGCACATGGTCAGGAGATGCAGGTCTAGAAGTGGCATTCTTCTGTCTGTGGCTTTTTCCAATTGAGTGGAGATTCTGCCTCCCTGAGCATTCCCACACATATGGAGGGGATGGATGGAGACAGCCCCTACCTACTTGGACTTGCCCTGTGTGCAGGCCAGTCATACTTGGCAGGTACGGTGTGACAGGGTGCTCTTTGTGCCTGGACATCTCAGCCTCCAATTGACTGCAGCTGTGCCCCTCCCCAGGGCTCCCCGACCATCCCCCAGGTGGGCTCTGGTTCTAGCGTGCTTCCCACATGTTCAGGATCTTGGCCTCCGGTAGGGGTTTCTCTTAGCTCTAGCCAAAGAGTGGCACTCAAGGTTTTACCTGCTCCTGGCTCATTGGTTTTTGCTTAGGCCATCCACTTTGCTAAAGCTGAGCAAAAAGCAGTCAGATGCAAGGAATTGTTCTCGCTGACTGCTGACTCGGCCTTGCTGGGCCAGGGGCTGCTTGAAGGACTCACTTTGCATAAGGAGCGCTCACTCAAGGTGCACTTCCGCATCTGGCAGCAATTAGGCGGTATTATTACCTTTGCAATCAGCTTAAAATATTCTAATGCAGGTACCTGCTTTTATGACTGAAAGGCTTTGTGTTTGAAATTGGGTTTTTTTTCCCCCCAAGAAATTTGTAAAAATGGCCATTGTAGTTAACCTGGAAAAGTGACTGGGGGCCCAGAAGCATGCTTCGCATGCCAGCCAGGTTCCAAAGTTGGTGGAAATCATTAGGGAATGTTCACCTCTTGAGACTTGCTCAAACCTTTCCTTGACATCAAAGGGAATGTGGCATGGGAAATTAAAGTAAAGGGACTTGTCTTTGGCTCCAGTCCTTTCCTGTCAGACACACATCCTAAGCTTCCAAGGACTTCCATGTTTCAGAACAGCATGTTCAAGTAGAAAATTTTTCACAAGATTCCACATTGCCATTGGACAGGAAGCTGGCCTCTGTATGCGGAGGGCATATCGACGGACCATAGCTGGAAGGATTGATGTTGTTTTTTTTCTCCATTGGTGAGGATGGGTTCTTCCTGGATTAATTTTTTCCCATGTCCTCGTGAACAGAATGGGTGGATAACACAGTTGTGTCTAGGGCTGAGAGCCCATTGGCCATCCAACTAAGAAATTGGGTGCTAAATTTTTCCCACATACTGTCCAGTCCTTAACTTATTTAATACTAGCTGTTGAGTCTCAGGCCATGCAGTTTGAAAGATTAGGATTGTATTTAAAATTATAGGGGGACAGAGATATGGCAGAGGGCTTGTTTGTAACGTTCTCCATGGCATTTCATGTGGCCCTTGGAGACTTCCTAACCAGATGGGTGAGGAGGTCATTTATGCCATAGCATTAAAGCCAGAGCAAAGTGGGCCAATTCCATGGAGTTAAAAATAATTTAATGCTGAATCCCCAGGATCCAGAGGAAACGGTTCATGTTTATTCATGCTCTGGAAAATGGAATCACTGCCCAAGAAGCAGTATGTTATGATTTTACTCCAAATCCAGTTTGCTAAAATCTGTTTAAGGGCTTAGGTGAACTCAACAAGGATATAATAAGGCCAGGTAATTGAACAACACAGAGACCGATAAAATTCACGGGAGATCATGTTGGAGATAAACTGCAGCAGGAGGCAGTGTGGACAATAATTTAAACTAATTGTGCACTTTGATGTAAATTAACTTCTCAGGAAGAGAAATTGAGGCCTCATTGTAGGCAGCTCTCTGAAACTGCGGCATGTAGAGTACCCGCCAGCAACACATGCAGCAAATATTATCAGCTACATGGAGGAGGAAGTTAACTGAACAAGTGCAAAAGGCTTAAAATGATACGGGGAAGATAAACACGGGTGAAGCCTCTTCACCTAGCAGTCTGATTGCGGGGACAGTGGGTGTGCTAATGCCGGTGACTGAATGCTCAGCTGGGGCTGGGGAGCGGAAGATAAAGATAACAGGCAGCCTTTAACAAGGAGAGGTTATTAAAAGTGAAGTAGTTAATGTAACTGTGAATAAGTGAGTGGCCTAGACCCTGGGAATTTCAAAGTAGCGAAGTGTCTAGCCTTAGAGCATAAATTGATACAAGCAGCAGGCAAGAAGGACATGGTTTTGAATTGGCCAGCTTGGCCGACCTCTGTTACTTTGTTACACACCTAGAAGGAATGGTGGGAAGCCCAGTGCATGCCCGTGGTTCATTCTAACATTGGAGGGGCCAGTCTGTTTTTAACCTTAGTGAGTGTTGGAAAACTGGAACTGCACACCACGAATTCCATGTCTCCACATGAAAGGAATGTTGACAGTTGAAATTATCAGCTGTTACAAACACAGAGGCTTAATCATAAGTGAGGGCAGCAAGGCATCACCTGCGGGATAATTGATAGCAAATCCACCTTGCACTTGGAAGGGTCGTGGTTTATCTGTCAAGCCAAGAGAAGCAGCGTTGTTGCCATATTAGGCTAAAATGTTTTTACTATTCCCGGTGTTTAATCCATATAGTTTGAAAAGACAAGAATTTGAAAGGTAAATTGATATTTTTGATTTTACATGCATGTCTGTTTGGGGAAAGGTTTCTAAGCTGTGTTTGTTTTCCTTTGTGTTTTGGGAGGTGGGGAGAAAGGCTGGTTTTTATGCAGTGATGTGAGAAGCTTTCTGAAATCTGACCTTCATTTTCTATTTTTTTTTTCCTTATATAGGATGATTATTTCAGAAGCTGGAATCCCAACAAGCCCTTTGACCAAGGTAAAGGATGCATTATTTCTTGTTGTATATTCCATGGGAAATGCAGTCTCATTTTTCCTTCTTTACATGCTGAGTTACTGTTCCTAAGAAGGCCAGAGAGCTGTCTTACTTGACTGACTTGGGAGTCTGAAGTGAGTATGGTGATAGAAACTATCTTGTCCATTTTGTTATTTGTCAGAGATCACCTGAGACATATTCTTCAACATGCATTGAATTGACTACAATCATTGGAGGTTTATTTATTTATTTATTTAAACACCACCACTACAAAAGAGTAAAATGCTTATCACAGTAACCTGGTGAGTTGGGTAGAATCCAGTGATTTCTTCCATGGAACGGCTGGCCTGGGAATGTGCAGTTGACATGAGCTATAAAAATGAAACTTTCTTTGTAGAAACGGGTTCATCCCAGGAGGCTTTCAAGGGCACTAATATTTCATTTGTTAAGTAACTTCTTCATGGCTTCTAAATAGAAGCTTGTTTCTGAGTCTGCTCACTGACCACTCGGGTGTAACCTTCGGCCTCAGAGGGTTCTTGGCACTCATGCCAGCAAGCATGAAGCCCGTCTACCAATGGCCATTGTAAGTCACTCCCAGGGTGCTCCTGTGAGTTATTTAAGACAGACTGAGGACCTGCCGTGAATCACATCCCTGTCCCTGTTGTTCCATATGTGACTGCTGTAGCCACAGAACTGGTGGCTGAAAATGATGCTAGATTGTACTTTGAAGTATGTATATGCAGTTAATACCGAAACCTGGAGGAAAAAGACTACTGACCATGCATCAAAAGTTCATACTTCTGAGGATGAACTTCAGTTCTGTGGCTTGACTGTTTGATGCAATCCCGATGGTCGCCCTGACAAAAAAGAAATCAAGGAGGGAATTGCCATGTAATGAATGTGTTAGAAGGCACCCCCTTCTCCTCTCTCCTTTGTCACTCTAATGGGCCCCTCTGTCCCTGGACTCTGTTTTTTTTGTTTGTTTGTTTTGTTTTTGTTTTTGTTTTTTAAACAAAATTGGTGTTAGGATTTCTTCATGTGCATTTTAGCTCATGCCTCCAAGTCGGGCAACATAGTATTCATTCATTCATTCATACATGCATTCATTCATTCATTCTCAAAGTTGAATACCCACTGTGTACACAAGCACCGAGCCCGGTTCTGGAAACAACACAAAAGCTGTGGTGCCCATGCTGGGGGATGCTGAGAGCAGAGTGTGGGGAGGTAACCCAGTCAGTGGTTTTGGTGGGATGTGTTCAGGGCCTTAAGGTAGGTATGTGCAGGGCAAGTGGTGAAGCTATAGGTGGGGAATTTACCATTTGTTGCACGCTTCTTGGGGAGCAGGTCCCAGGAAAGGCTTTCCTTTGGAGATCAGTCCGGACTTCCCGTATCTTCGCAGGCTCCATGAGCCTCTCTCCTTTGTAACTTTACCAATGACTGAGTTGTCACAATAAGTCACATTAAAGCATACGAAGATATTTCTAATGCAATTTATAAATTTCCCATTGAAAATGGTCGAAATTTCTCAACATTACTTTTGAAAGGCTGAACCTTCCTTTTGGAACAGCTCTGATACACAACACTCTCTCTCTCTCTGGGCCTCACAGATACACCCTCCCGTAAACATGCCCTCTAGGATTTTGCTTACGGAGGTCTCTGAACGGAGAGTGGCAGCGGACTGATTGTTTCCAGCCCTGAAACAGAAATGGGTTCTTGTCCTTTGAGAATCAAGTGTTGTCTAACCACCAGATTGACTCTGCCCCAAGACTTGCACACAAATACTTAAACTTCACCAGAGGAAGACATTTTCATTTTCACTAGTATACACTGGGAAAGATAAGTACTTGAGGTGGGTTTCATTTGCCACTTGGGGATGTATATGATCACTTGCCTTGATTGGGGGGTTAACACAGAAACTTTGAGCATCAAAAAGAGCATGAGACTTAAATCTGCTTGGTTCAGCAGTCCAAAAGTCCAAAGAAGGATTTTTGTCTCCTAGGAATGATGGCAGGCATATCCAGCAGATTCCCACCCCTGCTCCCTCTTTTTCTAGCTCTGCAGGCATGAAAACTGGATCTGCTTAGATAAATCTTCCTTCGATAAAACCTCATGCCTTTATGGGGTATAATTGAGGACCTTAGCCAAGAAGCCCCACTTTGTAGCTCAGGTGTAGCTGCTGTTGGCTATTTATATACAGAGCCATGGGGAGAGCTGGCAGAGCTGAGAATAGCCTTCACTTAAAATATCAGCCCCAGCAGATGTCATCAATTACATTGTGTGCTGCTCAATAAATATGGGAGGTTACTATATCAGTGTTGACACTACTTGGTGAAATATAAACCGTAGGCATGGAAGATGTAGAGCATTTCATCTTCCAGATAATAGGAGAATTGCTGAACTCCAGTGAAAGTTGTCAGCTGCAGCGAGAAGTCATTTCCCTGCCTAAGCTGAAAAGGAATCAAACATGTTTCGAGTGGTTTTGGGGTTGGAGAAAACTTGGAGCTGGTAGCAAGGGCACTCGTTGAAAGACATCACAGGGTTTCACGTGACAATTACGCAAGGGCATGGCAGTGGACATGGCTTCCCGATGGCCTTGGGGGCGAGGTGGGCTGAAAATGCAGGGGAGAAGCGGCGGGGTGGGGGGTGTCATGAGGGATCGTGGTGGAGAAGAGCCAGGACGGTGGGTTTGAGGCAGGTTTTGATGGATCCTTCCTACCAATCCGTGAAGTTTGCACTTTGTTTTCTTGGCAGTGGGGAACCAGAGAAAGGTTTTTTCAGCAGAAAAATGACGCGGTGAAGGCAGTATTTTAGAGGACTGAGTTTGGTGACTCAGCAGCTGCGGTGAGGAGCCCAAGGCGCAGCTGCTAGATGACGTCCCTCCCACGGACTCCTGCGTGACTTGTCCCTTGCCCCTTCCATTGCCTTGGAGCTTTGGGCTCTGGCTGTCACAGGCATTCAGACGCAGCATCCAGCCCTGGAGCCTGATCTCTGAAATGCCCCCGGAGCTCCAGCTTCTTGTAGGTGTTGGTGCAAGTGGTTAGGACACTCGTAGTGTCGATGAAGCAGTTACTTGTAACTGTACTCTCTGCTTCAGGATATTTACTGACCTTGGAACAACAGGACTTTGTGGAGGGCCCTTACCATGTAATTGACTCGGAAGGAAATCACTTGATGGTCTCCTTCCAAGAGGCTGAAAACATCTTTAACTTGTTATCCTAAAGTGAATCCTGAATGTTTCTGTCTGTGGAATATAAGAGCCATCAACTTCAGGCCTTTCAGAGAATTCTTTGTGAGATTTGGATAAGTAGTATACACCCTTTTGGGTATGATAATGATGTAAGGCCAGGTCTCCTCACAGAAGGGACAGAGAGGACTTCAGAACTGAGGGGAACACTCAGGTGAGACATTGCCTTTGTGAAGTCCACAATGCCAGTCGCCCTGCGGGGAGAGCTGGGCAGGCTGCCGGGTTGGAGAGGGCACAGGCTGTTGTGCATGGTTCTTGTCTTGTATGGGCAGGAGTGGAGGCCCCGGGGTGGACCTCTGCAGGAGGCTGAGGCTCTAGAGTTCAGACACGTTCCCAGAGACTTGGGTGGCCTCTCTTGCTCTGCCCTTCGAGCATATTCCATCACCTGGCCCCTAGCAAATCTGGGCACACATAGTGGGTGAGGAGCAGGTATGCGGTTTCTGTTTCCAGAAGTGGTGTCTGGTCCAGCAAAGTGCTTCTCTAAGAAAATAGTCCTTGGTGCAGTAAGTTCGGGACCCACATAAACTCTGTGCTTCTCCTGGATATTCACAGGGCTCATTCGTGATTGAAAAGCTCAGAGAAGTCTTTTGGCAAAGAATCCCATTTAACTTCCCATTTTTCTCAATCTGCCTTTAACTGCATGCTTTCATTTTTATTTTTTCGCTCCACGCCTATCAGATACCCAGAGAAAGTAGCATGTTCTGTGGGATGCGCTTTGGTAAGTGTGGTGTTGGTGGGGGGAACTTGGGGTTTGCAGTCAGACTCTCCACGTTTGGAACTTGACCCCACCAGCTCTTAGCTGAGTGATTCTGGCGAATTGCTTTACTTCTCTGCATCGAAGCCTTCAAATGTGGTGACAGCACCAGGAAAAGCATTGGGAGGATGAAATGAGTTAATGTCTGGCATACAGTAAGTGCTCCATAAGTGCTCCTTCAGCAATTAATTGATCTTTTTCATTCCCTCTTCCTCCTGTTAACCTGTCTCCCCCTGTTACTTCCTTCCTTTTCCACTTGGGTTTTATTTCTCTCTTCCTTTCTTCCCTTCTGGGGGCCTTAAGAGTTGTGATGCTCTGGAGCTCCCGGGGTAAGGCGGAGCTGACCTCTTTCACACTGGGCGGGTGGGTCACCACAATGGTGTACCCCAGATCCTCATTTTGGGGACTGAAGAGGTTCAGGCTCTTAATATGCTCCTTTCTTCCTTCCTTGCATCTACCCATAAACGGTTGTCAAATGCTCCACATTTCACGTGCTGTGCTGGATAATAGGGACCCCAGTAAGAAAGGGCTCTCTGTGGGACGCTCCCAATTATCAGTCAGTCAGAAGCCATCCATCTAAGGTCTTAAGCTCAGAGAGCGTGTATATACTGGGAAGGGGGCTGTTGGGGGCTGGCAGCAAGAGCTGGGGCTGGTGGGGGTGGGTCAGGCGAGGTGTGTTGGTCTCAGAAACTGAGAAATCCGTAAGATGTCAAGTGTTAATACGACTGGCATAGGTCAGTGTGAGTTGAGGGGGCATTTTCTGTTACAACTTGGCCTCACTCAGCCTGTGCCTGTGGATCAGGCTGCCCATGCTGTAACTACCAACCTTCCCTAGTAACAACCACCTTCAGAGTGGTAATGAGGGTGCTGTCCCAAAGGTTCTCTTTTTCCTTAGAGTGGGGTGGCTGAGGAAGCGGGGCTTGGAGCAGAAAGGCAGAGACAATTTACCAGACCATGGTGTTGTGTTAAAAGAATAAAAGGTGTTGCTTTCTGTCATAGAATAGA